ACTTTGCCTGTCTTTATAAGCTGACAGTGAAAGATCTATCAAGAACACAGAATCTAACACACAAAATTGAAAATTCACCTAAAAAGAATGAAAAATAAAACAATTTTTACCGAGTAAAATTCATGCTGTGGACGTGTAAGAACTGGTTTTTCATTATAAGCATGCATAAGCTTCCTCTCAGCCGAACTTAACTGAAGATCCTCAAAATTGACCACTCGGCCCAATATCTTTAATCTTTCTCGGTAGGGTGCATTTGTGTCCATGGGGAAACCTTTGATTTTCTCTGTTTCATTTGCAATTATCCTCTGTTTCGAAATGAATCACAGAAAATTCAAAATTATTCAGTCTCTTCAGAGTAAAACAGCAGTTGCAAGATATGCAAACCCATAATTAATCAACTCTACTTACCTTTATATTTTCTCGAAAATGAACAGGAAGTTCCGTATAATTTTCTGACACTTTAAAGTAGAAAACCAAACTCATTCCCGGCCCATCGTATTCGTTTTGGAAGATTGCAGCAGGATAAAGTGGAATCTGAATTAGTGATAAGGTGTCAAAATCAGTTTCTTTAGAAAAATAATAATAATAATCATAATCTGAAGTTTAACTAATCAGATTAGTATTGCTAATTGTGTTTGACAATGCTTTCTTTGTTTAGTAACATCAATATTTTCAGGAGACGTGGGATTATTTGCCATCAGATGNAAAAAAAAAAAAAAAATACCTGAAGATTTACAATAAGAATAGGAGGAATTTCTTCGTGTGAATAAATGGCAGGCAATTCCACATGTCGAGCGACATGAGTGATTTTCCTTGAGGATAAAAAAATATCCACTCCAAAAGGGACATATGCAGACATATTTGGAGCAAATTCTTTCTTTTTATCTCTGCCAAATACATAAGAGCCAATTTCAACATTAAGTTTTTTGTAATACATAAATAATAACGAATTGCTTAACTCATCCCAAAGGCAAATTAACTGAACGAGGAGAAATCGAAAAAAGCTCTCACTTGGTATAGTTTCTCCCACGGACTTTAAAGTTGTTTGGGTCGATTCGTGACCAACTTTCGGACGTTTTCTTCTCTAATGGGGAACACAAAACCTGAGAACCAGCTATTGGTCTTTGTATAATGGGCTTTGCATTTGCTATGGTAAACAAAACCCAAATGAAAGAAAGAGAAAATGAAAAAGAAAAGTCAGTAGCGATAGAAGCATTCAACAAAGCACATAAATTCATTGGGTCAAGAGATGGATTAAAAAAAAAGTGATGATTAGTCATTGTTTGTTCCCTAGTCTCGATAATAAAACTAAATCTAGAACAGATAAGATGGATTTGCTTTAGAGTTTTACCACACTTTTGGTTTAACACTTGCATACAAACAATCAATTCTTCAACTCCAAGCACTTCCTTTTCCTATACCCAACTTTTTTTAGCTTATATTAGCATAAGTTTAATTTTACATTCACTTCTACTATGTTTGGTAACCAAATAAGCTAGCTTATAAGCTTCCTGTATTATTCAAATAAACTTCATTTGGTAGGACGAGCTTTTTTAAAAAGCTCGAGCTCATCTCATTAGTTTCTTTCGGTATCTTTTTAAATAAGCTCGTTGAAATTTTTATTTAATTTTACCCAACACTTTTATCATACAAGCTAGTTTTTAAACTATATATCATAAGGTATAAGCTCAAAAATCGTTAACTTGTCATAAGGTATAAGCTCAAAAATCACTTCTATCAGTTAACTTATCAGCTATCAGCTATGTTATCAGCTAGTACTAATAGAATAAAAAGATACAAACAACTAACTTACATAAAATTGGATTTTCTTGCCCGTCCTTCCATCTGAAAGAGGCAACAAGAGATAATATTTTTCTTGAGCTCGAACCTCCTAAAAGAGCCGATTTCTTTTTCCCTTCCAAAGACTCGTCACAAGCAATACAAGGGAGCAAGGCATTTGATATAAAACCACAATTAATAGTTTCACCCTCAACTTGAGCCGAGGATTTGTCTAATAAAGCTGAATTTTTCACCTCAGTTTGAGGATCATCACAAATCGGCTGAGAATCAATGTTGTTAGCACACGGCACTTGGTTTGCGAATCTTGGAGTGACGATATTGGATAAGGATCCAGCTTGAGAAATATCTGCAATTATTATTATTATTTTTTTTCAAGAATGTTATATGAATAAGGATTTGGTGAAAACTGATAATCATAAAATCGAGAAGTATGAGAATTTTAATGCATTTTCCCAAAAAAGAGACAATGTACCATCTTGAATACTGTAGAATTCATCATCGCCATCTGATTCAATCACACCATCCGTATCGAACCACGAATCGCTATTTCCTGATTATGAAATTAGAATCAAGCCAATATTTCACTTTTCAATGAAAAAATTACACCAATAGTAGAAAATTGCTATGACAAATATAAACCGGTGTCCAAATTCATAAATAAAGCCCCCATTATTCTCCTATGTGCAAACAAACAAAATATAAATGCAAACAAACGTAAAGCACAAAAGATCATAAAAAAATCCCTCGTTTTCAGCTGTCCAACAAAGAAAACTTAAGCCCAACTAAAAAAAACCCATTTTTGTCAAGTACACAAATTCCTTCAGCAAGTACAAGCCCAGCAAAAAGACAACCAAAATCACAAATCAGAGCTGAAAAAAAAAATGGAACCTTGATACGCAGGATTGTTGAAAGATCGATCTTTCGGGTCAGATGGTTCGACCCGGTTTTTGCTAACTGAAGAATGGGCCTTTTTAATCCTCCTTGTTCTATGCTTCCTGCGTGTTTTCTGCAAATTCAGCTTCCCTTTCATCCCCACACACCCTTTGGGCTTTGACCCACAAACCCCCATTTTCAGATCAAGAAAGATCTGAATATATTCTTATCAAGAATTTGGGGAAAATCAGATACAATGTGAGAATATAACCATGGGATATCGTATGTAAATCTCAGTGTAAATACTAAAAGATAAATATTAAATGGAAAATGGGTGCCAAACACATGTAGGTGCCATGGCTTAACTTCATTGAATTTTCTACTCGAGTTCAATAACTTAAAAGGAAAATAAAAAACGACAAATTAAAAAGAAAAAGTGATGGAAATTACTAATGAGTAATTATTAATTAGTCAACAGAAAAATGTAATGGATGTTGACTTCTACAGTTGGCAACTTGCACATCATTTACTGGTCGGATGATCCTTTGGCACGTACCAGATTTTGTTGGGGTTCGGCAATTAGAATATTGAGATATATAACAAAAATTTAGGTTTATTGTACCACACTTGTGTTAAGCTTTGTCTAATTAATTAATTAGCAAGTCAATGACTCAATGTTAGTGATGTTCATTAGTATAATGTCTTTGTTAAATACGCGTCTTCATTAACTTTTATTATAATGAAGGCAAAATTGCAAACACAAATCTAACATCTATATTTTACTTGCAATTTAAGCACATTTTTTTTTTATTTATATGTATATATATATATTATAATTCGAGACATGAGATTGTAATCTCACAAATCGAGTCATGAATTTTTATTTCTTGGTCGTTGATCAGTCTTTAATATTTTTTTAAAAAACTATGAGTTGTGTCAGTGAAATTTAGAATTTGGGCGATACTATCGAACTTCGAAGCCACAATTTCAATTTAAGTTTTATTGTCTCAAGTCTCAACTGGTGATATTACTCTAGAAAATAACATTGAATCTGTTTAAACTTTTGACTTGTGTAACTTACTAGATAACGCTTTCGGTTGGTGCCTCAATTTGCAAAAATTGAGAAGTTGCGTCTTGAATTGGCAAACTTTAATAGATTGTGCTTAAATTACAAGTAGAGTCACTATAATAATTTATTTTGCATATAAGCCTGTTTTAAATAATAAGAATTAAGTAAGAATAAAGTAATCAAATAGGGTTATATTAGTCCTTTTTGCACTTAATAGTAATAAGGCCACTACCAAAGAAAACAGGCTGTGAATCGAGTTACGACGCATGTATGGTCCAAGTACACGACAAATAATTGTGTTGGACTAAGGCCCAATAACATCAATCTAACGAGCAGGCCCACATAAGCCCAGATATGTCTTCACCTCTCAGCTTTTGGCACCATCATTCAGCAGCTAAGCACAGAACCAGGTAAAAAATGGCGATGCTACCATCACCATGTCCTTTGAACCCTGCAACAAGAAGCGATTTTCTCTGTCCCAATTCATGTTTACAATTTTATTCCTCCAAGCCCACCTGCAAACCTCGTCTCCATCCTTTAGTTATCACCTCATCTTACAGTAAGTCGCTGCAAAATCTTTGTAATTTTCGTTTATGTCCTAATTGAACCCGAAAAATGTTGTTTTTTAAGCTCTGTTTTGGTAACGAATCAGAGCCCACTAAAGGGACTGTCGAAAATGATAAGCAGAGAGAGATTCTTGAGCAGTACGGTCTCAATCCCAACGAGTTCTTATCCGAACCCTCTTCAAAGGTCGCTCGTTTCTTTTTTTTGTCCATTTTCATTTTTCTTAACTTTTTTGCGGGTGTATTTTTTATTTTCTTTTTAAATTTTGTTTTGAAGAATAAATGGGTTTTATTTATGCATAATAGACAAAAAGAAGAAAGGAGCAGGGGAATAAAGGAATGAGAAGCTGTACACCTCCAGAAAAGACTCAGCCTGAGAGGGAGACTCACAAATTGATGCAGGTTTGAGTTGATTTATTAGTATTTTCTTTCTGTTTGCTTATTTACTTGACTAGCTGAGAGAGCATGCATTACTAGTTGAGTTGGTATACAAATGGAGCGTTTGTGAGCTCGTATCTGCAGGTTTAATTGCTAAAGCTCGTTTAATCTCGACGTTTTAAGGCTCGGGAATAGGAGATTTTATGTAATTTCTGAATTTTAACCTTAGCCCGGCTCGTTAATATTGAGAGAAATGAGCCGAGCTCGAGCTCATTTAGCTCTGCTCGATAAAGGCTAACTACTCATACCTCCAATTACTAGGCTGTTATTTGAGAAATTGGATAAATAAATTGGTCCATTAAGTTGCGTAAATTCGACATTATTCTAATCGTCTTTATTGGTGCTGCAATATTGGGTCTATGTGTATTTGTAGATAGTGGGAAATTATTATATTCCATGATATAATTATATCTAGTTCAAGTCCAAAGTTTAGTTTCTTCGTAGCATACAGTGGCTAATTATATTCATTTGTTTTTGAGAAATTGGTTCTTTCAGTGTGGTAATCATGATTTTTTTATTTTTTTCCCCCGAATTTCTACTTCCTGTTCAAGAGTATAATCAAGAAATGTTTGCTACTTAATATGATATAAGACATCTGCTTAAGTGTGTGTGTGTGTGTGTGTGTGTGTTTTTCTTGGTTTTTTTAAATCTACATTCAAAATGGCTGTTCAGGTTCTTGGAGGGACTGCTCGGAGGAAAAAATTGCTCTCGCCAAAGGGCTTGGATGTGCGGCCGATGATGCAAGTTGTAAAGGGAGCAGCCTTTTCGATTTTGCAGGTCAGTTACTATTCGGATACTTGAAAATTGAAATGCAGTTTAATCACAATGAATGAAACAATAAAATAAATATCAAACAGTTTGTTAAAAGTGTTCATTTTTTTATTTTAATTTTTTCAAAACTTAGTCAGCTGGTGGTTCTCCTCAGTTTCTGAGGCCGGGACGGTGGTTAGATTTGTATAGTGGCACAGGCTCTGTTGGCATTGAAGCTATCAGTAGAGGATGCTCTGAGGTGAGTTTATAGTGATATTTTTTTTTTTAATCATTACTTTTTTGCAGAATAATTATTATACTATAAGCTCTAGAGTAGCTTGGTCAGGTGAATTTATTTCCCGATAAGGGTCTTTTTCTTTTCCTTGAAATGCTTTCTGGATTGATTTGTTATTTTTTAGGCGCACTTTGTGGAGATGGATCCTTGGGTTGTTTCGGACGTGCTTCGGCCAAATTTGGAGTCTACTGGTTTTCTTGATGTATCAGTCATACACACTGCTCGTGTCGAAACTTTCTTGGAAAATTCAAAACGGTTTGCAGGTGAGTGGTTATATATATATATAATAGTGAAAAATATTTATATATATTCTACGTGTGGAACAATCGTGCTTGGATATAAATATATCTGCTTAAAATGAGTTTCTTTTGTTAACCATGGTTGATTGTGAAATAAATTGTATGGTTAGTTGTTAGTTGGATTTTGAATTTATATTAAAATAATATTAAAATGAAATAATTAAAGTTGATTTGATGTAAAAATAGGCGAGAGATGATGTGAAGCGATTATTAGTTAAAATTATGTGAGTTGATGAATAGTGAATTAAAGTTGATGTGATGTGTAAAAATGATTGATTGGTATTATTTAATTATTTTGATAATATTGAGGATAGTGGGGTTGAGTTAAAATTGAGTTAGATTTTGAGTATGAAATTGTGATAATTTATAAACAAACACACCCTTAGTTTCTCGGTTTTAAAGCTTGCCTAATTTAATTGGGTTATGCAAAGTTTTACTTAGTTACTAGGGGTGGATGGTGAAAATTCGATTCTAATGTGTAGAACTCGATTTCTGCAGGTAAAGATAGTGCGTTTGATTATATAAGTGTAACTCCTCCGTATATGCTCGTGGACTATGCTGTGCTCATGGAACAAATTTCGAATTCGTCTGTTGTTGGGGAGAATACCTTTATTGTAAGTTGGAAATTTGAAATATTTGGTTATAACAACACAATTACACACACATTTATATTCTGTCCTACTACATAACTTGTTAAACTCACTTCTCCAGGTTATTGAATATCCTTTGAAAACCGACTTGTTAGAATCATATGCGGGCTTGGTAAAGGTAATGTAAATATATAATTTACTTTCAACGTGCCATCATTCGTATCTTCACATATTTTGTGAAGTACAAAAAGTTACCCTNTGGTTAATGCAGATAGCCGATAGGCGGTTTGGGAGGACTAATGTTGCAATATATGGACCAAAGTGGGCACAAAAGAAGAGTAAGTTGGAGAAGTGACCATCATTGTTGAATAAATGAACCGAAACTGAACATAAATTTCCTGAAGATCTACTTTGGCCATGCAAAATCACCTTGTTTTACAGGTATTATTTTCAGTTTATCTGCCGTGCTAATAAAGTCGAATTGTCATTTTAATCATTGTACGTGGAATTGCTCCTTTTTGTCAATTCCTTGAAAATATTGTATTTTGGTGGTGTCAAAAATTCAAATTTTGTATTATGATGGTGCAACGAATTCGAATAGATGAATCTGTTTCAATTGTTCGTTCCGAAAATTGACCATCTTGATTGATTTTTCAATGCTTTTCAGATCGGGCACTTGCACTAGAATTCGACAAAGGGAGTACCAGACATGAATTTTTGATCAATTACAGTTCATTCTTCAACGGCTAGATCTCGACCACAGCTATTTATTTCCTTCCTTTACGTTTTAGCCCTTATTTCTTTTTAGGTGAAAAAAACAAAAGAAAAATGCCTCAGTTCTCCTATAAATGCATGTCAATCTGTTTCTATTTATCCCTGTCTGATAAATTGTGGGTTTTTTTTATAATTAACATATACTTTGTTCTCACCGACCAAAATTGGCAAAAATATCCGAAAATGAATGGAGCTTTCTCCACGGAAAATGATAGCAACACGAAAGAAATCGGTTTATATAATACTCTTTCGAATTTTGATGCAATCATTGGCTTTCTTCTTGCATGTTGGGAATGTGAACTTGTTTAACAGATATTTCATTGATGGTTGAGTATCTCTAGCTTAGGGCAAATGCATTAAAGACTTCATCAAAAGAGGGGTGAATCTTGTTTGGACATTAGATATGCACTATTTGTTTATAATTTAATTTTTCTTGTTTTGTCTTTATAAGGTTTTGTACTTTCTTATATTGTCGTCTTTACTCCTTTACCATTTGTGTAGTCTTACATTACATGATACTTTGAGTGTTATTGCAAGGAACTTTGATTTTAATGAGAATCTTGGAATATGCACTTACCTTTTAATATGGGCGGGAAATTGTAATATCTTGCCGTATTTGTGCTTCACTGTTGTGTTATTCGTGTAATCTATTTTATTTGATTATTAATACGATAATAAGTTAAATTTAAATTGTTGTTTGTTTGTTTCGTGTTATTCGTATCGTGCTTCGGGTCGTGTTTTGTCATATCATTGAGTATGCAATCGTGACATATGTTTGTATTAAGAATTGTGAATTCGTTAAACTGAACACAATCAGTCTTACTGGTTTAGATAATTTGAATTGGAAAGAAAAACAAATATGAAAAAATAAACAAAAAATGTTTATGAAAAAATCGACAAAAATTAAAGCTCCACTCCCTTTTTGCAGTCCTTTACTTTTAAGACTATCTTTATCCCCAACTCAACTCAATAATAAAAAATTGTTTCTCTCTCTTCTACCTACACAACTCAACTTATAACAACCTACAAATCTTTATTCCCAACTCAACCCAATCTAACTCAATCCAACATAATATTTATTTATTTTTATTTATTTATTAAATATTATTTACAATACATTTTTTAATATTGTTTTATCTATAATCCAACCCAATATAATAATTTCAATTGTGTTCAAAAACATATCAAGAGTGGTCTCTATTTGTAGAGAATGAAACAATACAAATTTTGATATTTTTTATTTTATTTTTTAATATAAAATAATATCAATAATTTGAGTTATACTTATCTAATCATATAAAATTAATAGTGCCCAATTGAAATGGGACAAGTGTCCCAATTCTCTCTCCCTTTATCCAGAAAGAATGAGAAAAAAAAAATAGGAAAGAGCGTGGGAAGGTGGGAAAGGATATAAAATAGAGCTAGGAAGGTGGAAAGGACCGGTTGCGACCCAAGGTCACAATCTGACCTGGGTCGCCTAATCTGCTGCTCCTCTATTTTTTTTTTTGATTTTTTTTTTCTGTTTTTTTTTGTCCTTTTCCTGGTGACCCAACCTAACGGGTCACCGATAAGGATAGTCTAATAAACTGGAAAAAAAATCTTAATTCAAAAATAGTAAGCCTTAACTCTCGCTTAATAAAACTAAAAGTGCAAATAAGCCGTACAAGAATACGATTTGTGTGTTCTCAAATATACCTTGTTCGAAACTTATTAAAATAAAAACAAATAAATGAGTTGTTTGCGAATGAAGTCGGTTCAACTCGCTTATTAAAAGAGTTTGATTAGTTGTTCGATTTCAACTCATTCAATTTTAAAAGATACGAATTGGAGTTTTTACTATTCGAATCATGCAAACAGTTAGCAAAAAAAAAAAAAAAAAAATTACAACTCTACTTCCTATTATTAATAAATCAATAAAATGTGGCACACAACTCAATGTTCCTTCTTTAGACCAAAGGGTGCGTGATAAATAGGTAACATAGTGAGGTCCCTTAAAAAAAATTTGCCACAAAAATGAACACGCCTAAATAAAGGGGGAGAGGTTACTGAGTGGACCAATCAATTCAAAGCGAACAAATAAAAATCTCCTTTCTTTTCCTTCCTTTAATTATTGATTTTGAAACAAACTTCTATAATATTCTTTTATTTTTTTATTCTCTACTCTTGTTTTGAAAATGAGTGCCATATATAAATTGCAGTTTTCAGCCAAACAAACACTCACTCCACACAATTTCATGAGAGTGAAGATGAAAATGAGTGCTGCTTTGTCATTTTTCTTGCTATGTTTTTTACTCTTTGTGAGCTTAGCCAAAACGAACGACAGAATGAAGACTATTATGACGTCATCAATGGCGCACGAGAAAATTTCTCGTGGGCTTCACCCGAATTTGGGCCTAAACTTTGCCAGCAAAAGAAGAGTTCCAAGTGGAGCCGATCCAATTCACAACAGGTACATATATATAGTTCATAAAAGAATTTATGAGAGCTACTTAAATTTCCAATCATAATGTATGACTTGGCAAAAATACTGCTAGATTGTTTAACGGTTAGATAAACATATTTTTTTTTAAAAAAAAGACGCATATTTATACTATATGAAATGCAGTACTTTTTGTTTATATTATAGTTTAAAGTATTTATTAGAAGATTATGAATTTTCGACATTCTTGATTTATATGTTGTTTGATAGTTTTACGATAAATATTTCTCGATTTTTCTCATTCCAGAAAAGTAGGGACTGCCAAATCACCACCGACATGACGTGCTCGGCTAATGAGATTGTCGGACTAATCCTAACATTATGAAGTCGAAAAGTATTTTTTTGAACGAAAACGAAGAACTTTAATTGTGCATACTGTGAGGAGAGAATGAGTTTGTGAGTTAGTATATCGGGTAAGACAATCCAAGTTTTCACTCTTGTTTTTTTTTTTCGTTTTTCTTTTAGTTTTTTCTAGTTAATTTTTTCTTTGCATGTATAGAAAAGATGTTTCGGCTTTGATAGAGTTGTATAACAATAAGAGCTTCCATTTTTCTTTTCCATTTTCTGCTGTTAGGCAAATATAACAGTTAAATAGTCATATACTTTTTCAACAGATGTGCTTACTTTTAAACTAAAATGTTATACATTAAAAAATAATATAAACAAACGTATGACATTTCGTAAAATAATTATGAATTTTTGCTGAAAAAGTATAACAAGTCGACACATATATGCCTCACAAACGAATTTGTTTGTTTTTGTATGATAAATCTTCAAAAGTCCGCATGATTTTGCATGTCACACACTCACACTACTGAATTATATATGTTATAACTGTATTATGAATTTGTGTTTGATGAATATATATATATAAAATTCCGACAATTTGGTAAAATATTCAGACATTTTTATGTTGGCGTGTTCGTGCAGTAAAGTAGCATTGTCCATTTGTCCTCACCTTTTGTTTTGGAGATGGCACGAGCTGAAGGGGCTCTATTTCCAAAATTTAATGTGCCTCAAACTGACATCATTGTTGGGTATTTCTTGAATTTTATGTTTTCTATACACTTAATATAAATATATAATATATAGAAAAATGCCAACATAGTTCGGTTTATCATAACCCAATTTCTCAATCATGCACGGTGATTTTATTCGAGAATTTGGTTAAGTTTGAGGTGTGACTCTGATACTAATGTTGGGTTCGAAGCCCGAGAGATTCACAAACAACAGGAATCTCATAATAATAAACCAAAGATACAGTGTTCAATTAGAACAAGGAAACCGAATAAATCGCATGAAAATGAGAGACCTCCCACACGAGGTCTAAATCCAATAACTAACATAGGCAGCAAGGGGCTGAGATCCTATGCTAATGAGCAATAGTAAGAATACTCCAGGGCTGATAAAAAACTGTCCACGACCTAGTTTATCAAATCTCAGAGTCACCAAGCTAAATGGAACAAAATTCAAGCCACTCCCTTGAAGCTTGTCTAATGTGACTAAGCTCGGGGAGTTGTTGTTTTTGAAAAACCCAAAGGATGCGGGATTTCCACAACCGCCACAATAGATAGGTTGAAAGTTGAATGCGGCTTTCATCAATTTCCTTTGAGCTGATTGAGATGGACCACCACCAATCTTTAAATGTTGCAGCCGGCCAAGAAAAGCACTCCCAGCTTACTGGGGCCTTTTGCCACACTCTTTGAGCTTTAGAGCATTGCTACAGAACATGTTCAACTGTCTCAACTGAATCTCCATAAACTCGGCAGATAGGATCAATATTCATTCCTCTCCTAATCAAGTTAGAACTAACTGGCAGAGTTCCATTGAGACATTTCCAAAGGAAATGTTTGATTTTCCCCTTGATTTTTAACTGCCAGGTTCTACTTCTGATTTTCAAATCCTTAGCCTTAGAGGTGCTGCTTTCAGGCCTGTCTAGGAGATCCACTTTATCAGAAATTAGACAAGAATAAGCTGAGGCAACTGAGAACACACCTTTGTTAGCACCATGCCAGGTCCATCTGTCATCCAGGTGAGGTTGGAGATTGTTCATTTGCAAGATAGCATCTGCCACTGGTTCTTTAAACAGCTGATAAATGAGAGCAGAGTTCCACAATTGTCCATTACCATGCAGAAGGTCCTGAACCTTAGAGCAGGTTGTTTGAACCCCTTGCTTAAATTGAATTCTTTGCAGCCCCAATGAGGGGACCTAAGGGTATCCCAGCATTGCAGTGTTTCTGCCACTTAAAACCCTAACCTGGACAAGCTTATCAAACTTGGATTTAACCCCTATCCATGAGTTCCAAAGCCAGGAGCCTCCAACCTTCTTCTTAGCCTCACAGAATTCTGTGTCAGGGAAATATCTTGATTTAAGTAATCTGCTAACCAAAAGGCCAGGCATAGTGAGCAGTCTCCATAGCTGTTTCATGATCATGGCATCATTGAAAAGTCTGATATCTTGAAAGCCAAGACCCCTCTGAGCTTTAGGTAAAGTCACTTTGTCCCAGCTCATCCAATGCACACTTTTAGAGTGATCACCTCCCTTGCTCCACCAGAAGCTTGCACATAATCTAGACACCTCTTTACAGATGGAAGTTGGCAGCTTGAAACAGCCCATCACAAAAATAGAAAGGGCATTTAGAACAGCCTTGATCATTACCTCCTTTCCAGCAGGTGAAAGGAGTCTATTTTTCCATCCATTGATTCTGCCTCTCACAGCATCCAAGATATAGGTGAAAGCCTGAATTTTTGAACTGCCAATTCCCAATGGCAAACCCAGGTATTTAGTGGATTTTTGTTCACTGATGTTGTTAAGAATGTGGCAAATTCTTCTTCTCTGTTGAGGAGGTGAGTTTTTGCTAAAGAAAATTGAGGACTTGCCCCAGTTAACTTGTTGCCCAGAGAAGGATTGGTATTTTCTCAGAATGTCCATGAGTTGAAAAGCCTGGTTGCTATCAGCCCTACAGAAGACAAGAGTGCCATCTGCAAATAGAAGGTGTGAGAGAGTGGGCCCATTTCTGGATATTCTGATTCCTTTCATACCACCCAAACCAGCCTCATTTAGAATTAAGGAAGAAAAGACCCCAGCCACTAAAATGAAGAGGTGGGGGGAGATAGGGTCCCCCTGCCTTATGCCTCTAGTAGGATGCACCAAACCTCCAACCTGCCCATTGAGTTTAAAAGAGAAGGATGTTGATGTGATACACCCCATTAACCACTGCACAAATTTGACATGAAATCCCATTCTGAGCAAAACCATCTGAATACAGCTCCACTCAAGTTTGTCAAAGGCTTTGAGGAGGTCTAACTTAATAGCCATGAACACATTATTCCCTGACCTGTGCTTGTTGAGATAGTGGAAAACCTCCTGTGCAATTATTACATGATCCATAATTGATCTATCAGAGATTAATGCAGCTTGTGAGTCACCAATACAAAGTTGAAGACAAGGTTTGAGCCTGGTGGACAGTAGCTTTGAGATGGTTTTATAAAATATGCCACATAAACTAATGGGCCTGAAATTGTGGAGAGAATCAAGATAGAGGCATTTAGGAATAAGGGAAATGATTGTATGATTCCAGTACTTTAACATTCTCCCTGACTGGAAGAAGCTTTGAATGGCAGCACAAATGTCATCCTTTAGAAGTGGCCAGAAGTGATGGAAAAAAAGGCTAGTCATTCCATTTTCCCCTGGAGCCTTCTCTGGGTGCAGGCTAAATAAGGCTTCTTTTATCTCCAGTTCATCCACATCAGCAATAAGAGCTTGGTTCCGCTCCTCAGTAATGGTCTGTGGGATATGCAGAAGTATTTCAGAATTACCTGTTGGCCCCTCAGAAGAATAGAGTTTATCATAGAATCTGCAGATACAATTCTGAATGCTCTGGTGATCCTCAAGAACATGGCCATGTTCATCTGTTAATCGAGTTATAGCATTCAATTTTCTTCTTTGAGCAGTAAAGGCATGAAAAAAGTGAGAGTTCTTGTCTCCTTCTTTTAACCACAGTAACCTGGACTTCTGTCTCCAATAGGCCTCCTCCTTCAGATAGGCAACATTCAGTTGAGCATTGAGAGAGTGCCAAGAATCCCAGTCCCTGTTCTCTTGTGAATTTCTCAATTCCTCCAAAGCTGCTGAGATTGTTTTGATTTTTCTCTGGTTGTTTAAATGGTGATGCTTACTCCACTGAAGCAGAGCAACTCTAGTTGCTTTAATTTTTTCCTTAACTCTGTACATAGGAGTTCCACTGAAATCCTGGGACCAAGCATTTGAAACCACCTCATGGATACCATCCTTAGCCAACCATCTCTTATCAAAACTGAATCTGCCCTTTTTTTTGTTGTTGGTGGTATCAGAGTTTATAAGAAGCATATTATGATCTGAGGTTGTTCTAAAAATGTTCTCAACAGTGGCATTGGGGTGTGAAGTAAGCCAGTCAACTGAGTTGAAGGCTCTGTCTAACTTCTCTTCAACAAATCCCTCCTCCTCTCTGTTATTTGCCCAAGTATAGTTGTATCCAATCCAGTTCAGTTCAATCATCCCCATATCTGAAATGAATTCATTGAAACCCATTAGGCTGTGAGGTGATCTCATAGTGCCCCCTCTCTTATCCTCATTACAGCATAGATCATTCCAGTCACCAATACGTAACCAAGAAGAGCCCCATTTTGGTTTCATGTCTCTGAGCAGATCACATTGAGCAAGCCTGAGGCTCTTGATAGAGCTCATATACACAAAGCCAAGATGGAGTAGTATTATGAGCTGAAGAGTACTCCACCTCCATACAGAAGTCATGGCTAAGAATCTGGTGAACAGTAATCTCCTTGCTCCACATCAAAAGCAAACCACCTGCAATTCCAACTGGATCAACTACTTTCCACCTGTCTTCCACATGCAAATTAAAGCAAACTGTATTTACAAAGTCTATTTTTTTTTTTTTTTTGTTTCTGATATAAAGGTATAAGCTGGGCAGTGGGTCCTCATGGACTCCTTAAGCTGGGGATTTGTAGAGGGTCCACCCAAACCTCTACAATTCCACACCACCACTCTCATTGTTCACCTGTTGGCCCTTGGAGGTGGGCCAACTACACCTTTTCCGATTCAATCTTCAATTTCTTCTCTCTGATAGAGGAAGGTTCAGCATCATGATTCTGCAACTGATTTGTGGATGTTTGAGCAGGTTCCTTCATCCTAAGTCTCTTTAGGTTTTGGTTATTAGCCTTTCTTGGTGGATTCACCTTACCACTTTGAGATCTCTCAGGATTGATAGCTTCCATTTCCTGACATTCACAGCTTTCTTTGTACCTTCAGGAGTGCATTCTTCATTATCCACCACCATGGTTCCTTCAGTTCCTAAAGTAATGAAGTCTGGAGTTGCCTTTTGGGCCATCACTATCTCCTTCCCCTTAACCGAATCTAGAGTTAGATTCCTGTCTCCCAATTCAGAATTCTGGATAGGAGGTCCCAGCTTCTGGCTAGAGAAGATGATTGGTGCAGCTTTTGTGGACTGAGAACTCTGAATAACTTCTGAGTGGGATTTTACTGTAATTTCTACCAGCTGAGAGTGATCAATAGGAATTTCTTGGATTTGCGAATTCTGAAGATTCTGCTCCAATCCTGTTTCTGTTGCTGAGGAGTTCGATTTCATAGGGTGACTGGTATTTTTGGATCCCATGGAGCCTGAGGGGCTGCTTTGCTGGAAAAATAAATTCTGGTGACCTTCACTCACTTTCAGCCACTCCCCGAACTGCCCAATTTGCACCGAGTTGCGAGCAATATCATCAACTTTTCTTCTGCAATCCCTGTCCAGATGACCCAGCGTGCCACAATAGAAACAGAGATTGACTAGTTTCTCGTATTTGAAGCTAACTTTGATGATTTCATCCCCTAGTCTCACATTAGCACAACGAAGGAGAGGTTTTTTGACATCTATGGCAGCTAGGATTTTGACCACTCTACCACCTCCAATATCCCCAGCAGACGAGAGAGTGACATTTGAAGCTCCTTTAAAGAGCTTACCAATCTTTAGCCCCACGTCAATCGATTGTCAGTGTAACGGAATATTGTAAATATGAACCCAGAGCTTAAGAATATCAAAGCTTGGGTGGATACTATTTATATTGGGTTTCCATTTTTGCAAGATGAGGTATTGGTTATCAAAAATCCAATTGGTCCCGGATACTACTTTCTTAAGGTCTTCTTCAAATTCAAAAATGAATTGAAAGTAGTTGAAACCCAGTTCTCTAATTTCAACCGTACCTTGAATCTTCCAGATGTTTGCTATGGTTCTTTTTATGCCAAAGAGGCTGGCCTTGCGATCCCCTACAATTTTTCCAAACAAACTTCTTATGCATTCATCTTTGTTGAACGAAATATCCTCGTGGCCAATGTCGACAATTGAGTGCTCCTCCTCTGATAGCGAGAAGTTCTTCATCTGCCGTTCCAGTATTTCAGTCGTGCTAAGACCCGAATTCTGTTTACTGGGTGATGCCATAATAGATTAAGAGTGCGAACGATCAATCCCCGAGTGTTAATCGTAGTTAGAAAAGATCAAGATAGGAGATCCCATACGAGAGAATTAGGGTTCCCAGTAGGAGAATTAGGGCTCCCAGTAGGAGAATGTCAGTACTAGAGATTCGTTTGCACTTATAAATACACAATTAACACCATGTCTAACATTTAACAACTTGTCTAACCAATCAGCACTATCAAATTATGTGATTACACTTTCTCTATTACCACTTCATAAAAGAGGGAGATAGTTACGATTGGTTTGGTTACTGGCTAATTGATGTTAATTTAGAGGATTGGAAACGAGAATTCTACTAAATTCAAAAGGGCAGCATTGTGGAAAGCGGGGATTAATAAAAATGCAACAACGTAAAAACTATAAATTTTCGCTATTTACCAAACTCTTATTTGATAAACTACTAATTGAATTCAATAGTCAAACTAAAAAATTCTCTTTCGTTAATGCAACCAGCTATCCACCTATTCGTTAACGGCTAATTGACAAACACGATCGATATTTAACTTCAAGATCAGCTATCCAACTATCCCATCAACACCTAATTCGCAAACAAAATCAATATTTACCTTGAAAAAATGGAAGAAATTAAAGTCCAATTGAAGTCAAATTAGTCCAATTGAAGTCAAATTAGTACAATCTCGGTCAATTATAGTGTAATCGACCTCCAATTAGTCCAATTAAAGTCGAATTAGTACAATCTCGGTCAATTATAGTGTAATCGACCTCGAATTAGTCCAATTGAAGTCGAATTAGTACAATCTCAGCCAATTATAGTATAATCGACCTCGAATTAGTCCAATTGAAGTCGAATTAGTACAATCTCAGTCAATTATAATGTAATCGAACTCGAATTAGTCTAATTGAAGTCAAATTAGTCCAATTGAAGTCAAATTAGTACAATCTCGATCGATTATAGTGTAATCGAACTCGAATTAGTCCAATTGAAGTCAAATTAGTACAATCTCGGACAATTATAGTGTAATCGACCTCGAATTAGTCCGATTAAAGTCAAATTAGTACAATCTCGGTCCGACCTCGAATTAGTCCAATTGAAGTCGAATTAGTACAATCTCGGTCAATTATAGTGTAATCGAACTCGAATTAGTCCAATTGAAGTCGAATTAGTACGATTTCGGTCAATTATAGTGTAATTCGACTTCAATTAGACTAATTCGAGTTCGATTACACTATAATTTACTTCAATTGGACTAATTCGACTTCAATCGGGCTAATTCGAGTTCGATTACACTATAATTGTCCGAGATTGTACTAATTCGACTTCAATTGGATTAATTTGACTTCAATTGGACTAATTCGAGTTTAATTACACTATAATTGACCGAGATTGTTCTAGTTTGACTTCAATTGGACTAATTCGAGGTCGATTACATTATAATTACCCGAGATTGTACTAATTTGACTTCAATTGAAATCCGTTTATAATTTCTTTTTCATTTTTATAATCCGTTTTTATTTTTACTTATTTTTTATTTATTTATTTTTTTTTAAAAAAAAACTTAAAAACGCATTTTCAAAAAAATAAATAAAAAATGATAAAAAAATAATAAAAAATAAAAAACGAATTTTGAAAATCCGATCGTTTGATTCTTTTCCACAATATTTTTTTTATTGCTTGCCATATATATTTTTTTATTTTATTTAAATAAGCCACCCTCAAAAGGTATATATTGATTTTAAACATAATATTAAATAATTTTTTTTTTTCAAAATGGCTAGTAGTTTTTGGCGGGATTTTTCTACTTTTGGAATAGATTTTTTGCATTGTATTTCACTTTAATATAGATAGAGAAGAGATATAGATTACTGTTTGAGAGAGGGTTTCTTCTTTTCTTTAGGTGCTGGTAGTGATAGGCACGCCTGTCAGTCAGCTCATCGCCATCATTCCCTCCACCTCTGTTTCTCTCTCTTGNTATGTATAAATTTATTTTTCTCAAATATTTGAATTATATTGTTATAAAAGGTTTAAATTATATTTTATAACAAATTTGATATAATTTTAATTTATCTAATACAATTTATTATTCTTTACAATTTTAATTTACAAATTTAGTTATATTTTTCTACTGGATTATAGATCAATGTGTGGTTGAACAAATTTACATGTCAAATCAAAAGTTTTCAGATGATCTGAAAAAATAGGAATTCTTTACAATTTTAATTATATTTTTCTACTGGATTATAGATCAATGTCTGGTTGAGCAAATTTACATGTCAAAATCAAAAGGTCTCAGATAATCTGAAAAAAGAATTGGGAATTTTTATCTAATTCAAATTTTGGACATCAATTTAAGGAAAAGAAATACAAAATTTATTTACAAAAAAATAATATGCATATATGCTTATTTGCATAATATGGTCAATTTCTTACATTCACTAAAAAAACCAATATTATATGAAAAAGCATCAATTTTTGGCAAGTTTGAATATGATAGCCCTGTTATGAAATAATAAAATAATGTATGTGAATGACTATTTTGCCCTCGATGTATTTGTATTATTACAATTTGTGCCATCAGGAGTTTCCTATAAATAGGAGCTTCAGTTATAATGAAAAACACACCTAAGAGAATACATTTTCTCTATTCTCTCTAGTTTTATAACACGTTATCAGCACGAGTCTCTACCCTCTAGAACTCGATTTGTAGTATGACGAGAGTATGCTCTACAGTTGCGTCTTGTAGACGATCCTCTGTATCAGAAATCGAATTATTACAAAACCATTATTTTCTTCAACCAATTTGAAGCCATAAACTATTAATTTTTACTTTCTATCATTCGTCATTAGACACCCAAAAACAACATGAAATGATAAAATGCTCTCACCTTTAGAAACCTCAATATCAACTACAAAATATAGAAATATGAGTTTGTCATGACACTCTACTTTCCTCAAAACTCCATAAAGCTTATTTGTAATCGGCCAAATTTCATTCAAGTTCGCCAAGTAGCGATGATCCGAGCCTTACGCGTGGCGCAACAACACGTAGCCCCGCAAAACCGAACTTTCTTGGATCCGAAATTGATGACATGGTGGAAAAACAAGTTGACAGACAGTGGTCTTGGGAGATTTGAGGATTATGAATGCCTGGCCATGTTTATAGAATGAATCCGAAAAGAAAAGAAAAAAAAAATCTTTTGCTCCATTTCATATGTGATTGTGTGGTGTACGTATATGGTGGAAAGGAAGTAATAAAAATGAAAAAAAAGAAAATGGTGGAGAGAATGTCACGTGAAGGGGATAAGGTTTGAGTGGATGATATTGAAGAAAGTAATTTATATTGAGGAATGGGCCAAATAAGTCAGAAGTCAAGTTGGACTGCAACAGGTATGCAATTGCTTTTGTATTTCCACACTCTTTTGCCAAATATAAAATAATGAGAAAATCAATATAATATTCCAATTATTCATTGAGCTTCAAATAGTTTTTTCTCGAATACAAAAGCATACATTATCAAAATTAGAAATTTACAAATTCATAATATTTCATTTAAATAGAGCTTCGATTTAAGACCAATATTGATATGATTTATTGAATTATATTAATGTATATTGTCATTATGAACTGTTGATTTTCTTCTATTGAGAAAATTATTTGGTACATGAACGTGCGAATATTTATGGATTGACCCTTGTGATATGAAAAGAAATATGTGTGGCTATATGGATCAGCCAGTGCGGCTCTGCCGCCGGCAAGTAATATTTAATGATAACCAACGGGTCAATTATTGATCAAAAATATTATAAAGAAATATGACTGATCATATGAAATGGCCAAGTGTTGCAGCCACCAGCAACAGATAATATTGAACGGCTAAATGGATCAGTCAGTATATTAATGATAACCGGTGATATAGAATGGCCAGGTGGCAACGCCACGTGCAACAAATGAATGGCTATACATATACATGGGTCGGCCAGTGCGGCACTGCCGCCGGCGATGGGCAGTACAAATTAAGTGATAGCCAATGAGTGAAATTAATGATACTTTGTATCTGACCATGTGAAATTTAATTAAAGTCCTTGTCATGAACAGACATTATATGGACTAACCTGGTCCTGAAGTATCAGTTGATAAATTCTCCAAATTTTATGGAGAT